GGCATACATACGTCAAAGGCCTATTTATTCTTTTTTCAATGAATTCTTGATAAACCCCAAAAAGAAAAGGTGGTCGGAGGACTCATCTTCCTCATACTATGCCGTCGATCCTGGCATCTGAATAGTATTAGGAATAGTGTTGCCTTCAAGCATACTTTAGTATTTAGCATAATTTCCCGGCAGTCCTCCTAGCATAATTTAATTCGCATCGCTGGCAAATCGCTGGTACGCTGTCGGTCACAGGGTTGCCATTTGGCCTTTTTGACGGCTAGATTCGTCAAATCTGGCCGTATAAAAATTCGCCTGTCCTTAACGTTTGAAAAGTCTCGGCGAAACTATATTTGGCCGAATTTCGTGAACATTTTTTTTTTCAATATAGGTCTAATATAACGCAGACTTGTTTTGGATATGTTGTTAATTTTATACAAAAGCTTTGATTCTAATCGTGTACCTTTACTTAATTAAACGTTCGTAGTCGTACTCGCACTAAACAATAAATGTATGTCCCCCCCTTTGGCCGAGTTGACGTAAGAGAGTTTATTGTTTAAAAGATTGTAGCAGTTACATTTAATAATTTAACTTGTTCGGATGAAATTTATTTATTGAAGTTTATCCTCGTTTAAAACTTTATGAAGACATAACAGTTTATTGCAAGTTTGTACCATGTGTTTCTTTGTCTATGTTCTAGTCTAGTTTCTATCTCTATTGGTTGAGAATTGAATAAAATAAAATAAATTGTATATGCGCTGTAGTGTTCTTTATGTGAAGTGCCATGTAAATGCTTGTGTGATCATTCGGATCCAATGACACCTGCAATTTCAAGCAAGTGTTGGTGAGACGTCCTCGAAGTTACTCTGGAGTTAGGTTGTATATGAGAATCATGAAGAAGATAGTCCTGATAGCGACATTGATTTATTGTTTAAGTATGGCAACAATAACATTCAGAGGCGAATTTAGGAAGTTTTAGATAAAAAGTATTTATTAAAGTTCTCATAAGTTTGTGTTACCTTACTATGTAACTTTCTAATTAAAGAGAGCCACGAATTTGTCATTGAAGATTCGATAACGAACAGGCCCTTAATTATTGCTATAGATGGACTACAATTTACGTTAATTAATACATTTAAATAAAAAATGTAGACCGATCATAATAATGTGACAATAAATAGGCCTACATGCTAGCAACTATAAGACATAGGCCCATTTAATATTATGATGTAGCTGGGCATTTAATTATGGTGATTAATTAATTATAAAAACAAAAACAGTGAAAGATTAACATTGTTCTGTGTATATCGTTTTAATTTCTTCAATTTCAAACAAATGACAGTTGATTTTCGTGTAATATGATGTAGCTGGGCATTTAATTATGGTGATTAATTAATTATAAAAACAAAAACTGGGAAAGATTAACATTGTTCTGTGTATATCGTTTTAATTTCTTCAATTTCAAACAAATGACAGTTGATTTTCGTGTAATATTTGTATGTTAAGTGAATATTATGTACCAATGTTGCCTAATTCTAATTGGATTAAAATCTGGCCGAATTTTGACCGATATCGAAAAAAAGTTTGGCCGAATTTGGCCGTGAGATGGCGTGTGTTTGGCCATGGTTTGGCGAAGGCGTGAAGCCTCCTGTCGACTATCGCTAGCAACCCTGGGGCGGCGGGGTCACACTGGCCAATAAATAGTGGAACCAAAGATCGATATTTGGTGGAACTGCCGTCCCGTTTACACTATTCAGGCTCGGAGGTTAGAATGTTTGGAGGAAGTAGGAGAAGTAATTTTTATGTATAAGGTTATTGTCATGCACCTTGATGTTGTTAATTATAGACAAATATTAGCAACTTTAAAGTCTGTAATGTTTGGTTTAGCCTAGGCCTATGCTCTAACAACAGTTCGTCGCGTGCCGAAATTGCGGGGCGTGCGGCGACGGGCGAGACCTTTTCAAAACAAAATACTTGAGCTAGGCTAGGCCTAAGTACTTTAGGTTATGTATTAAACATACTATCCTAGGCTACCTAGGCCAGATGTTTTACTTCACATCAAATAGGCTAATTATGCCTATTTTTGGCCCTACGCCTTTTCCACGAGTCAGTAGACATCTTTAAGTGATGACAAACAACCCAAGTCAGTGATGCGTAACCAACAATAACATAAATAGGATGGTCTAGATTTGAGGCTAAATTCTTGTCCACATGTTATCTAAAAATTCAGAACTCCATAATGGAGGGTCGTATCACATATATTTTTCTGGAAAATGTTCTCAAAAGATTATTCTACACCACTATGATTGAAAAAAAAATTGAAAAATGTTTTTGACCCCATTTTTTTAACAGATGAGTTGGATATTTTGAAAGACAAAATATCAAATAACATTGCTGTGTTGAAGATGAATAGGCCCTAGCTTGCCATGGAAATTTTAACCTCAAAATCATTTTATTCACCAACATGTCTGTGGCATAACTAGCTGGGGAACCAGTCAATTCGAGTAGATGCCACTTCGAGCGGATGCTAGTTCAAGCTGAAAAAAGATTCACTTGTGCGAACAACAGCCTGTGTGAGTTATGTACGAATTACTTTAAAATTTCCTATTTTGAGCTAATAATTTGCATTCGGACGAGGCTCAAGCCTTGCCTGGGAACCGGGGGTGGGGTGGGTGGAGAGACGCACATCCCAAAAATTACTTGTGCCCCCACATTGGCCCTTCCCCATAAAATCAAAGATTATAGAGCGCCGCTGCGGCACAAGATAGATAACTGCGATCGAAAAAGTGAAATCGCCATGGGCGCCATGCGAGCAAGCAAATTTGAACCAGACAGTATGAGGGAATACCCGGAAGTCAATGTAAACAACCGGCTTTCGTAATGTCGGGCTGTCATTGCTCAGCTATAAATTGCTCGAATCGGCAAAAAAATTGCCCCGACCTGTCATTCTTTAGGTTTCCGAAGGATGGAAAGAGGTAAGAAGGTCCACTTGTCGTTAAAAACAATATTAATGAAATAATAGCTGTGAAAAAGTAAGTTGTTTATTGGATACTACTAATATGGTATTGGTAGGCCTAGCTTTACCTTTAGCGTAATTCAGTACAGCCAGCACTCACTGCAGCAGAGGTAGGTTAGGCCTAGCCTTTGTATGCACCGTGTGGCTGGACATCTAGGTTTTGATTAGGTCTCTAGAGGCCTAGGCATATATGCCATGTACTGTAGCCTATAATAATAATAATATATTTATTTTCTCCAAAATATCAATTAAAACAATCATACATACAGGGGGTCAGACGAAGGAGAAACAAGTTCATGTATTACTACTACTAGGCCCTATAGTATTTACCAAATGGTTTCGTCTGCCCTACAGTCTGTCTCTTATACACCTTCCCTAGGGCCTAGTCCCCACCCACCTCCCTAGGGCCTAGTCCCCACCCACAGGGCCTAGGCCTAGCCATGGAATAATAAAATAATTATAACTTCATGGCCTAGCCTAAAGGCTAAATATCAAATTACTATAACTATTATAATACAGTATTATTTCTATAATAGGCTAAATACCAGGGAGGTATATTATAAAGGATCCCATTATAAATACCCCCTGATCTTACCATGTCTCATACAATACTGTACATTATGAATGTTATTATTTTCTTTCCAATATGTGAAAGCAGCCCACTTTTTTTGACATCAGGAAATTTTTCTAAATTTTTTTTATAGAAGTCAAGAATGGGTCCAAAATATAAGAAGAGATGACCTAAGGAAGAGATCTCCAGAATATTTATACAGCAATTGTTGAGTGTGTTCAAATCATTTTGAAAGCCATCAGTTCAACAACAGACAAAGAAATAGTCTCAAGCACGATGCTATTCCAACTGTTTTTTGCATTCCAAATCCACCTAGTAAATTGGCACAACAAATAATGCCAGCCCTTTCATCAAATTGTGCACCAGATTATGATAGGTTTGTGCTGACCTTATCCTCTCTGGCACAGAGAGATAAGCCAGTCAACCATTCAAGAGTACCGCAAACTGTAACACCCGCCACCGCTTGCCAGTGAATTCTGTCCCAAGCCTCCCTGAGGAAAACACCATGGCCTATATTGCTGGCTACCTGTGTAGAAAGGTTCTTCTCAGTCATGAGGTAGTTGCTCCTTGCAAACAGTGTCAATCAACCTTGCTGGCTTCTGATGCAACATGTAATGACCCTTCGCTTCTCTTCACTCACTACAAGGCATATGATACCACTAAGAATGATTTTGGTGCTCTGAAAGTTCCATCTGTGGCATTAATTATCTTTTGCTTAATGTGTGAAAACATTTTCAGAAGAAAATTTAATGACACCAACTTGTTCTGTAACAACATAAGTTACTCAATTCTATGTGCCATCAAACAAGAAAGTTGTTACAGTGCCTTAAAAGTTTGCGATGACAAAGTCAGAGACAAACTTGTAGCCATCTATGTCAGTATGCGCATACATTATGCACTTAAGTTCAAGAATAGACAATTAAAAGCTGATGCTTTAAACAAGAGAAGGAGAAACAGAAAGGTGAACAAAGTAACCCATAAGTAGGATTTTGGCTCCTATTTTATAATACTGTACTGTAATATCAATGTCTATACTCTCTACATTGCTTCTGTATTTAACATTTTTCTATCTTTGTCAGTTTAAAGACACATGTATGTCCTGGTTTGGACCCTCTAATGTCACTATTAGTTAGGGTTTTCTTCATAAGACTTTTACGAATGGATTGTCAATCCTGATGATAACATAATTAATTTTGAAATATTGAATCCTAACACGATAGCATGCATTTCAATACTTGTATTACACTATCTTAAAATTTGCCATTTTATGTAGGCTTTCTACATAAAGGCTTCTACGAATGGATACCTTGTTCAAAGCAAGAAATCAAGTTGTCTTTACCCAGAACACTCTTTATATTATTTGGTGGGAATTTTCGTAAACACGTTTCAATCCCTCTACAGTATATTCAAAGCTGGAGTTAGGTGCTCCTGTGCTAATCTAATCTAAGCCATTTTACGTAGGCCTTCTTGTTCTTCATAATAGGTGCTTTCTAATGTTTATTCCAGCTGTATGTAAACCAATCACTCATCTTTGTCAACTTTACATCTGCTCAGCCAGCTTTAAGTATTATTTGAAATACTTAATTCCAATATTTTCATTGTGTCAGCCTTGTGTGTAGACATTCATTAAAAGCATTAAGATTTTATTAGGACATATTTTTGTAGTGATCATAGTGGAAGTAATGGATGAAATTACCAAACTGTTTTGCTTTTGAACTACTATTATTATGTTTGCACTGATCTTTTTAAATCTACAGTATTGCTGTTCAATGTGGTATCCATGGCAATTTTGCATTGGTTCAGTATTGCTGATAGAGGTCCGGTTTTGTACATGAACAGGTATTTTTTTTGTTTAATTCCAAACACTTCAATTCAATAAAACTAGATTTGTCCATATCTAGTTTGTATTGATACAGGAGTGACATGCCAAATGCTGGTGGTGGTTTGATCCTGGTTTAATATGTCTTTTTTTTTATAAAAGTGTGTAATGTGTGTATAATACTATAATGTTTTCAAGACTTTTAGTCAATAAAAGATAACTTGAGAATTCAAGTGAATTATAATTGCAAATGTAACACTTTAATTCGATATCTAAACTAGATTTGTCCGTATCTAGTTTGTATTGATACAGGAGTGACATAGCCAGAGGAATGGGTGATTTTACTAGCCCCCAATATTTTAAATGGATATTTGGCAGTTATGAACAACTTAAAATAAATGTCAGTGACAGTTATAGGTAATAATAACAATGCTGATTGTAAATGAAATTTTAAAACTGATCAAATTTCAAGTTAAGTAATATTAGTCTTTACTATTATTTTATTTTTTATCAAACGATAGTAGAAATACTAATATTGTTCTAACTATTGAATGTGTTTGTAAAAATTAAAATATATTGACCTCAACTGTAAAATACACTGTTTGTTTTAATCAGTGTACAGTAAGACAGTACTTTTGTGTACATCACACAACTATGAAATTGCTATTTATATTTCATTAACAAATATGTTCGAGATTGCATTAACGCAATAAAAATAAAACTTCCTTTAATATTTTAAAATTTATACTACATCAAAACAGAGGGACGGGAAAATGGCACTTTACTGAAGAATGACCCATTTATATTTAATTTCACTTGCTAAAGCATTTCAGGTAATGCTGGTCATTACTATACCAACAATGAACTTCTGATGATGTTCTACTTTATGTGAAATAAAGGAAGAAATTTTGATTTAATTGTGACTTCTTGTATTATTCCTGGAGTGTTTTTTATATTTTATTTTTCCAACTAAAGGGTATTAGAATTTTAATTATTTTAAAAATGATTGTCAAAACTCATTTAAGTTTTTAATTTTATAAATTATTGAAACGCACAATCTGGTAAAGCTGCTGATCGGGCGTAATCATGAGTAAAGGAGTACTGCTGAGTATATGTTACACAACCAGTAGGGGCACCTGAAGGATGGTGGTGAATGCAAGCCATTATGAAACTAAGCATCCAAAATCATCATGGAATAAAAATAATATTTATATTTTAAAACTTTATTCAAACGTAGTAGTACATATACTGTTAACCTGTATTTGTGCCAATAAAAATAAAACCAATTAATAAAATTAATCATAAAACAGTTTTCTAACCATAATTCTCTATCAGATGTGATTTCTTTAAAATAAATTAAGTCTTTAAACCTTTTTAAAAAATACCATGCATATTAAACTGAAAATAACAAGTAAATGTATAAAGGAAAAAAAATGGAAATTACACTACATGATGCTTTACGATCTCGGTAAAATCGTTTGTGATAAGCCTTAAAAGGTGCCTACAAAAAATAGTATATGAATAAATAAAAAAGAATATGTTTGAAACGTAATAATTGTTTACTAATATATATTAAAACGATTATCCAATAAATTTAAATAAAGAAATTATTTAAAAATATATAACCACCGCTCAGAAATCGACCATAACGGTGATGAATTCAAGCACGTTTTCTATTTGTTTACATTAATATCCGGGTATGTTGCTCGCTGGAGCGTTCAACTTGCTTGCTCGAATGGCGTCCATGCGATTACAGAGGGCGTAGTGTTGTGGAGATAGGAGTTACCTATCTTGCTCCGCTTAGCGGCGCTATACGATCTTTGCTACCACTTGATGATGATGAAGCTCCATAATCTGAATCATAATATGGCCGTTTTCGTGTATTTGTTATTGCCTTGTTGACATCCATATCAAAAGCACATTTTTCACAAACACTTGTTGTGATAGGCATAGGCCTAGACAGC